TACACTCTGGACAGGTCATTTGCACCATTCACACCTATGCCCAATTTAGGATCAACTTAATTAACCTAACCTCACTAAATGCATGTCTTTGGCCAGAGTACCCAAAAAGAACATGCAAACTCCACACAGAAAAACCCAGGACCCTTTTGCTGTGAGGCAGCGGTGTTAACCAGCATGCTACCTGCTACGGTCGCTCACCTCTAGTGGCTCTCCCTTAATGAGAGAGTTTTTTTCTCCCTTTCCTGTGTTCCAGGTCTGCCTCATGAGCTGGAGCTGAGGTGTGTTGCAGCTCGTCAGCCACGACTGCCATCTCAAACCGCCACGCCCCTTCCACGTCCCCCATTTGCTGTATTCTGTTTTTGGCTCGAGAGTTCTTGGTGTGTTCTCTTAGTTTGTTTTGTTTTGTTTGTTGTTTTTGGCCTTGGAGACCGTGAAGAAAAGAGCTTCCCTGTGTTCATCTTTACTTTAGTAGTTTTGTGTAATAAATCCCGTTTAATGACACCTATTTTTCTTTTTCACTTTGTTACTTTCTTTCTTTTTTTTAACAAAAGTGGTTCCATGGTGTAGTGGATAATGCATTTGCATTATATGTGAAGGATTTAAAATTGTTTACACTAAATATTATCTAAGAGTGAATCAGCACAGTTCTAAAAAAAAACAAAAACAAGCCTTGAGCTGGAGAACTGAAAACAAGCGAATCAACCACAGCATTGATAATTCACTGCACTCTCGATGCTGCCAGTCTGTCCGAAGACCAGTCTGAACCTCACTTCACTTACTGTTGTGACCAGTGAAGCAAGCAGATTGTTTGGAGCCCTGGAACCCATTATTTGTAGCCCTCACACACAAACGTACGTACCCATTGGTGTGGAGAGGGCTGTTGTGAACCAGAACAGAAGGCATGGTATGGTATTTGATGATGATGGCTGTGGTCAGGTAGGTCGCAGCCAAAGTACCCAGAACACTGTGAGAGGATGGAGACAAAAAGCCTGCTTCAGACAGAAATCAGACTGAAACATTCAGTCCAACATAAAATGAATGAGAGGCTTACTTGAGGCTGACCAGGGTCATGTTCTCTACTCATTTATCCATATAGAGACATGCTTGACCTGTATGCTCTGAATAAATAAGGATCATAATCCTCTTCTTTAAGAAAAGAAACACTGTGGCACCGTAAAGCTGAGTAAGCACACCTCCAAAACACTTTAACAAATCTGAACACCAGTTTTGCAGGCTATGCTACTCCTGAGAAACAACCTTTATACTTCACCCACCACACAGAAACCTCCAAATTAGGTCTGCAACTGACTATAACTTACACAACAGCTTATGGCCTGTGAATGGTGATATTAGAAGGGCGCTTGTAATAGGATTTTGTATTAATATTACAGTAAATATGAAACTGTATGCTGAGCCAAGATGTTAAAGTTGTCATGAAGGCTGCCAGCAGGTAAAAGGTCATCGATCTTGATAACATTAATCTCCTCATTACTTATTGGTTTCCTATATCGTGATCATTTTTCCTAATTTGACAGTTTGGCCTTTGGGTGGCAGCACAGTGAAGTTTTTGAAATAATCAAAAAAGAAACTGTGAATGAAAAGTCTCACACAAATAATCATAAAGAAATCAAGTATTTTTCAGTGGGTATCCAATCTTTTGGATACAGCTGGGTGCAGCAGGAAATATGAATGATAAATTTGAACCGTCCATTAGCTGTCATTATCACCTAATTTAAAAAATAATAATAACTACTATAAGTGCCACCACATGTAACACCTGACCTGATGTATTTCTGAATGCTGATCTCTTTGGAGATGGATAATGGCAGGATGAGGAAGAAACAGAGCAGCACCAAAGCGAAGCGCCGGTCCATGTAGAAGTGTTCTGGCATCTCTGACTCCGGAAGATTAGTTACCAGCTCATGCAGGGAGTCGCCCACTGACAGACACAAAACAGCGACGTAACAACACACATATATCACAGATGTGAAAGTTAAATGCATTTTTTTTTAAAAAACAGAGAAAATGCAAATAAAACTGCTGTCTAATTCATGAACAGCAATCTGCTTCTACCAATTTCCCTGCTTGCATATCTCAGTTTGGTTTTAAAAAAATAAATTTGAAAAAAGATGTTGCTAAATGAAAGTGCTGAAAAGTCCAATTCAAAACAGATCACAGTGGTAAATGTGCCCAAAAACCTAAATCAAAAACGCATTCTTGTGCTTCAATCGCTTTCCTTTTTTCTAAAAAAGTAAAATATGTCTAGAAATCCATTTACAAACTATGAATCTGTGGCTCCATAAACTACAGATGGATGGATTTTATAAACCAAGTGTACAGATTTATATATTTTTCCCACTGGCCCTTCAAGAAAGCTGTATTTTAGAGGATATAAATTATGAATCTATTTCAGTGCCTGTAATCTGGACAGAAAGATTATATACAATAGGATCCTATCATTTAATCACTTTAAATCTGCATTTCATCTTAGAGATGACACGAGCTGAGCAAGGCTGCCAAAACTGCAGTTGCTCTGTGGTTTTGAAATACACTGTTGAACATTTATGCATGTACTGTCTATTTGCATCACTCTCTGAATTGTTTTCACTCTTCTAACTGACATTTAGTGCATGCTCACTTCTTTGAAGTATCAAACTGAACTGTATGAAAGAGGCAATATCAGGGCTGTAAAATTAATGTAACAATGTAGTACAAAAGTCTGCACTTCCTCTTCCAGCCACTTGAGGCTGCCTCCAAAAGCAAACTGATCCCCCATGTTTCATTTTTATTAGCAACATAAAACAAATCTGTCACTCAACACAGTTCAATCGTATTTATAAATCTCTAGTTCACAACTGTGACATTTGACATTTGCTGAACAACTGACATTAAAATCCACCAGAAATGTGTCGAATCAAACCTGCAACGAGCTGCAGTGGTTTCATGTTGCTGCAACACAGAGCCAACAGATGCATTTCTGTACCACTGTGTCTGCATTTATCCATTCAAACACAACACAACACTGAGAGTTCGAACTAAATACAGTATTCAACACACTCTGAATAGCTCCTGCTGGAAAACAATGTTGGATAACAGGAAAATGATTTTTTTAAAAATAGTAAATTTAGGAAAAGATTGAAAAATAAAAGTGAACATTAACTCACACTTTTCCAGCTGGTCATCCACTATGACCAGAAAGGCCACAGAAATCATGAAGAGGTTGAAGACAAAACAGATCTCACACAGTTGGCCAATGACATGCCCACATATCTTCTTCACCACCGCCTGGTAGGTGCATTGGCCACTAATGGACGAGGAATAGCCCAGGATAATCAGGCCACTAATCAGGAACACGAGGGAAACCTGAGCAGGTGAAGAAAACCAAGACATTAAGACAATGTTAAATCAACTTCCAAGTGTTATTTTGACTGTGTTCTGCTCAATACATTTAAATGACAAAAGCCTAAATTCAGTCAAACTGAATACCCTTTGTTCACGTGCAGCTCTAGGTCCTGAGTCCAAAAGTGCTTGGTAAATAAAAGATCATCAGGAAACATTAAAGTTTTCTTTTTGCCCGTGCACGTTTGGGAAACGTCAGTGTTTCACTAACTTCTGATCAGGTCCTCGTGTCTATTTTTAAATGTATTGCATACTCTGCTGATGGATAACATAAGTGAAACTAATACAATTACTAAATGCCTGCGTGGATGCATGTAATTTATTGGCAGTGTGACAAATGTATTTAATGAATGACCCCATGGAAAACTAAGAAATGTACTGGGTGTCACAGCAACTCAATAATGCACTTAGACATGTAATGGTGACATTGTCAAGATGACCTGTTCATGGTCAAACTGAGAAATCAGAATATGGAAGAAAGGTGATTTAAGTGGCTGTAAATACATGGTTGTTAGTGCCAGAGAGGCTGGATTAGTATTTGGATACTGGATTATGCTGATCTACTGGGAGTTTTCCACTCAATCATCTCCAGAGTTTATATAGAACAGTCTGAAAAAGAAAAAATATCCAGTAAGCACCAAGTCTTGATATGAGAAGTCAGAACAGAATGACCAGACTGTTTCAAGTTGATAGGATGGAAACAGTAATTCAAATGACCACTTGTCTTCTATGCAGGAGAGCATCTTTGAATTCATAAAATGTTAAACCTGGAAGCAGAAGACAAGACCAGACCAGGTCTCATTCTTGTCAGGTAAGAACAGGAAACTGATATATGATATCTGGGACTCTCCACCATTTGACCTTAGAACTGAAGGAGCTTCTCGGATGAGAGGTGAAACGTCTTCAAGTAACTTAAAGAAGTCCAGACGCTTTTCTTTGCAAGCTCCTTTGACAACAGGAAACTGAGGCTACAGTTTTCCTGTTCTGGGCTCACCAAAACTGGGCATCAGCAGACTCAGAAAATATTGCCTGGTCTGATGAATCTTGATTTCTGCTGCAACATTTGAAAGGTAGAGTCAGAATTTGGCATAAACAACATCAAAGCATGGCTCCATCATGCGCTGTTCAGGCTGGTGGTGGTGCTGTAATGGTGTGAGGGATATTTTCTTGACACACCTTTGGCTTCTTAGTACCAGATGACCATCAATTTAAATGCCACAGCCTACCTGAGTACTGTTGCCTAAACTTCTAGCAGGACTCAGATGAACCAAAACTGGTTTCTTGAACATGACAGAATATTCACTGTAATCTAAAGACTTCCATAGTCACCCGAACCCAATGCAAATGACAAGTGTACAACAACTGCATGATCGATCATGTAAATGTGGACCAAAACCTGTGAGGTATGTTTCCAGCACCTTGTTGAATTTATGCCACAAAGAATTTAGACACTTCGCAAAGCAAAAAGGACTCCAGCTCCGTCCTAACACGATGTATCTGATAAAGTCTTCAGTCAGTCTATAAACAGTGCTACCAGCTGCATGTGACTGTGCCTGTGCACACTCTTAACTTTAAGCCTCAACAGTATCCAAATGGGGGATTTGATTTTAACAGTTCAGTTCAACCATCATTAGCCTGTATGAGGGGAAAATGATCCACAGCAGGGATGTCAAACTCTATACACATAGTGGTCCATATACAGCCCACTTTGATCCAATGAGACTACATGATAAATGTGTAAAATTACAGAAAAAGTTAGTTCATTGCTCAGACTGTCCTGTAATTATAAAATATGACGTTTTTGCAATGGACTGACTAATAACAGAAAAACAGGAACTTTCCTGTTATTTAATTGAGTAATAAAAAATAAAATACAGGTGAAAGTTTGAAATCTATGCACTTCTTTATATTTTCTAAAGCTGTCCAGTGGGCCGGATTCATTCATCTATCATTAGTTAAAGACCAAACTAGAGCTAAAAGTAGAGCAAATATTGGAATTTTGTTAGTCACATATAATTACATGCAAAAAGTTCACTGAATACTAACACATGTTAAATTTTAAGTGTGAGTATTGTGACACCTGTATATTTGTCTTTTTTCTGCCCCCTAGTGGCCAAGAATGAATGGCTGCAGCTTTAAATATGTTTAAAATCTTCACTGAGTTTTATGAGTGCAGAGAGTATCCAGAGAGGGTAAAACAAGAAAAAAAATATAAGTCTTGAACAATCTTTGCTCTGTGGAGTTGCTTTGCTAAACAAATTGCCAAAATTACAGTTTTAGAGTCTGCACATTAACAAGAAAAAGACTTTGTGGGGATTTCTTTACAAACTTTTGGATCACTATAGAGGCCAAGTGAGGAGAACATTTTTTATTGAGATAAGAATAAAGTGAATTTTAAAGTCCTGAGGTCAAGTCTAACATGGCCTCTCCTGCCATGTGGAGAAGATCACAGTGTTTTTAATTAATCTCAGAGGGCCCCAGTTTAAAGGAGATAAGATGTATCACTTCCACTCAAAAACCTCCCAGAATCAATAAATATAAAACTGTTATTGCTGATAAATAATCTTTTTTTTTAAAAGGTAATTTTGTGTATTAGACAGGACTCAGTGATGCAGGGGGAAAAAATTCAAAGTGTGAATTTTTGTATAATATGTCTTTCTAAAATGAATAAATACCCACCAGCTCCACGGTGACAGCGCTGTGGATTCCTCCGGCTCTCTCGAAGGCCCAGGGGAAGTTGAGGAGCCCAGCACCTAGAGCGGATTTAAGCATGATGAAAATGGCCCCCACGGAGCCCAGCCGGGGCCCAACGTCCAGAGGTGGCTTGGCCGAGGCTGAAGCCAGAAGACTGATGCTTTCTCTGGCCAATTCCTCCATGCTCCGACCGCCAGGAGACTCACTGCGCGATACTGCGGTGCTCGCAAGTAGACTGCAAACAGGAGCAGGTCACTTGGATGCTGGGCTTGCCTCTCATAGGGGCCCACTGAGCAAGGTGGGCCGGCTGGAGAGCGGGTGGAGGGAGGGGTGGATCTGCTGCTGCTGCCTTCAGGTGCTGCTCAGAAACTTTTTACCTGTCTTTTAACTTAATCCAATGGATCACTTTCATATTGTTGTTGTTGTTATCTTCCCAAGACTTTCCTCTTTGTTTTGGTTTATTTTGTTAAAAAAAAAAAAGGAGAAAAAAAATCGAAATAAAAAGAAGTAATATTTAATCTGCCAGAGGACTTATTTAGAAAGCGTTCAATGTGCAAATTATTTGAAAACAAATGGGGTTTTTTTTACATTTGTTTTTACCTTGTGTAATAAAAATGACATATTTTCTCAGTCTATATCTTATTCTAAAGGTCCTGGCAATAAAGTAGAAAATGTAGTACGCTATGAAATATGCTCTAACTGAACAGCAATAGTGTGAAATGCCTAACTAACCTTAATAATATGTTCATAATAAGGGCTAATGTGGTGTTCCAGTCTGTCTGCATAACTGGTTATGTAGAAAAAAAAGTCAAGTTGAGCTTCTCAATTCAGTAACCTGAATATATACACACAACAACAAACAGCCAGTATATGCGCGTGGACAGAATTAAAGAAAAGGCTGGAATATCTATGCTAGGGAGCATCTTAGAATGAATCCTGGAGGTTGGGGTCTTTGTGAGGGCTAAATGTCCTTGACTGGTAAAGACAGTGAAAGTCTGGAAACAGAGTGGATGAGGAAGACTAAGACCTGCAGTGTGAACGTAGCCTATGGATCTGGCCTCTCCATTAGTGTTTTCTGCTTGGAGCAGAGGATCAATGGAAGATGACCGTTTTTCTTTGAAAGCTTTCTTGCACGTTCTTTTCTCTAAACATGCCGCCATTGTATCCCCTTTTCCGTCTTCCCTCTCATTCCCTCTTTTTGATGCTTTTATCTGCTTTTGTTTGCGGTGCCTCATTTAGTAGGTTGTCTGGTCTGGAAGGGGAAGTAAACATGAAGACAGTTCTGAATGGCCTACATATGTCCAGCAGAAATAACATGGGAGCATCAACTTGTAAATTTCATGCACAGGATTGATTCAGGGGTACAAAAGCCAAACCCACTTTGTTTGAACTCATCCCTTCCAAAATTTATATGTAACTTTATTTCACTTGTGAAATTGAGTTTCTTGACTTTTAATTTCATGGATGAAAATGAAAAAGCAACACAAATCAATTTCCCGCGGTGCAGTCACAGGGTAACAGATTGCATCCCGGAGTTTAAAGCCAGCTTTCTGGGAGGGGGGGGGGGGGGGGAGAAAGGAGAGAGGCAGAAGCTACAAGCAATTTGTTGATTTGCATGCATAACCCATGTGTTTGGGATTCAGACACTGAGGAAAAGGAAATTGATCTCACAAATTCCTTTGAAAATTAACGAGCCTGCCACCAGGATTGGGCATGGAGATAATGAATGAGCGGAGCTGTGTTAATGGGGGTCCTTTCACAGCTTAGGTATCACAGGCCTGGACAAGCTCCAAGCAGAGAAATGCTACAGATGCAAGAACGCACACAGCACAAACAGGGAAAATGCTACAAAGCAGCTATAAGATGTGAGGAAGAATCATGGCCCTGATTTGACTCACCAGCTACACACATGGGAAATTAATTAGTAACGGATCCTAGTGGGCACATAAAAGTATCAGAAATCGCCTGATTCAAATTTTTAACCAAAGGTTTGGCAGCACATTTTTAGACGTCATCACTGGCTGCTTTCTGATAGCTTCCAGGTGTATGTGATGGGTAATTCAGATGATTTGGTGCATATTTCTTAAACACGCAGGAGGAAAGCTTACATAGAACGTGGCTGTTGAAACGCTGGGAGAGCTGGATGAGCAGGAGTTTAGATTTCAGCCAGCGTGTCATGCTGGATGCTAGTAGGATGTGATGAGGGAAGAACCAATGGATCATTTGGAGAATTCAGCTCAGAGCCACCCCAGTATATGTTTCAACTGCTCGTTCAGAATATAACCCTACAACCTGGTTGACCCAACAGGAAGTCCTGGCATCTGGGAACCTTGGAGGAAACAAGGGCATGTGACCTCCACTCACCACCAGCTTTCCCAAATCTTGTTAGCACGGCAAGCTGGCTCCGGGGTCATTTCCCAGTTTCCCAAGGTTCCGAGGGAGATTAGTTCTTAAGTGGAGCCATCATCCAAGAAGACTGGTGACAGATTCACAGGCTGATCTGGCCTATTAGGCTTGGATAAAGAGCCAAAGCTCAGAGCCCCCAGCACACCGGCATACATCACCTCTGATGAAATCAGCCTGCATCACTGAATTCAGCCCAATACCAATACTAAACCCATGAGTGGTGTGGAATTAGTCCAGTCAATCTGTGATTACTCCTCGGAAAGGAATGCAATTATTTCTTCTCAGCAGTCTGCCTCATGTCACAGGTTTAACCTCCACTTTTTAATCACTCTCTAGCGCTCGTGGTGACTGGAGCCAAAATGTTAGGTACGTAGGTTTGATCAGTTCTTTGTGATACCTGGAGCACAGTGAAGAGAAAATGTGCAAGAAAATGCAATTAATACAAAGACTAAAGCTATGATGGCATTTTTAATGCTGATTAAGCAGCTCAGTTTTATTTTTATTCAAATTAGGATTCGAGTCACCAGGACATCTACGTGGTCTAGCAGTTAAAGGTCAGAGCGGGTAAAGACAGGAACAATATAGTCCCCCAATCTACCTGTGGATGGTGACCTTTTGGCACATCAATAAACCTCTGTCTGCCACCTCCAAATGTTTATTGTTGAATGATCAAACATGCCCCCTACAAAAACCTTCTGGAAGCTTTTATTGATTTTGAGCCATTTCCCCAGGTATTTTGCTTTTAAGAAATTACTTTTCACGTAGGTAGCTTTGTGAGATGTGTGTGTGTGACTGAACCATCCTTGATTTTTGGAATAGAGCATACATTTCAAATGCATCCACAGGATGGAAACAGACAAAGAAGCAAATGCATGATGCACAGCTGTAACCATTGTACCAGTGGTTACAGGTCCTACTGGGACCTACTGGTCCCAACAGGGAGCAGTGGACATTACATAAAAAAGGCAAAAAAATAAAATAAAATAAGTAAAACCACTAATGGAACCACCAAAAGGTTCAAAAAGGTTGTTCATGGAAGCAAAGAAAAGAAACAGCAGTTTGCACACTGCTGATTCTTTGCCTTTATCACATCTAAATATGGATATGTGCATGTATTTTTCCATTTGTTCCCCTGCTAATATAAATGTAAGACTTAAAAATGTTGTAATTGGTGAGCAAATCTGCACCTCACCTCAAAGAACTCTCTTTAAGGTGTCAGGAGTGCTGCTGAGTGCATGACAAGTTTATATGAAGCCTGACTACAGAGTGCTCAGCCATGTCTGATGAACTCCCTGGAGTGGTTGGGGTTAACAACTACAGATTTTTACATTTAAAAAAAATCTGCAAGTTTTGCATTTCAGAAGAGTTGGCTTAGTAGATGCTCCACTGTAGATCATATCTTAGAGACAAATTCCAGCTCTGAAAAAAGAAAGCAATGCAGAAGAGTCTTAAACCTGCATTCCTTATAATGGCCAGCCGGGAGCAACTGTTCTAGTTGCCTAATTTACAACCTCGGTAAACAGGTTCCTTTTTTTTTTCTTTAAATATACAACAGATGTTTATTTTGGACATGATGCTACCCATGTGAGTCATAACCTCGGGTAGGCTTTAGGGTGGGCCAACACTAATCGAAATTGCTAGCCCACGACTGCACAGGGTTCTCAGTTTCTTAGATCCACTTCGTAATCCTCGTCCTCTTATTCCAGGCCTCTTTTAGATAGTCTGCTGGCTCGGTGCTATATTGGCCAGTACTAGCATAAACACAACCTGTGACTGAACAGTCAACCGCCAAGCTGTATTGTGGGTAATTCTAAGAATGAAAAGTGTTTTTCCATTGACTGACATTGTGCAGTTTCATAGATCAAACTGCTCTAAAAAAAAAAAAAGAAGAAAAGAAATATGCATTATTGAAAAAGAAAAAAAAAAAAATCAGCAACTAATAAAATTATTAAAGTTAAAAGAAAGAATCGGGTCACTTTGATTATGCTTTTTAATTGATGAGATACAATTCTGTCAATGCTACTGTGCTGACCATGAGATCAGGAAGGATGTCATCAACAGAACGCCCAACCACAGTTCATTCATCATATAAAACCCAAAACAAAACATAAAAAGACTTCTTTTTAACAGATATGGGCAGGACTTATAAAACCATTGACAGAAAACTTAATCACCCTGTGGCTCTCATGCTGAAAGTATCAGCATCACTTCATGTGTCTGTGTGTGCGTTTCTGTTTGGATCTCCACTAACAGCTTTGTATTTGTACGTGTGTCTTGTATTTTAGTAAATGTGTTTGGGCTTGGCAAATTCAATAAATATAAAAGTCAAACACATTTCATTCATAAAGAAATGGGTCAAAGAAGAGAAACTGAAATGTGGACACTACGTCTGCAGGCATTGTTAGGACCATGTGTGTTTTATATCATGTGTAACACTGTTCAATGGTCCACAAATACATAAAAACACCCCCAGCAGCTTCGAACAGACAGGAGGCACAAAAAATGTTTCTGCTTCCAAAAAATTCCTGGAGCAGGTTCACGTCCGCCAGGCTTCAGTCTAAAGACAGGCATATGTCTGCCTCAGCAGTTCATTAAGACTCCATGTAATTCCAAAGCTCCATCAACACAAGTTTTCCTTTTAATAGCATCTCAGTTTTACAGGTAAACCCAGCTGCAGTTCAACAATGCAGCTAAACTGTGGGGTTCTTCCCACTCGTCTGCTGCTGCTGCTGCTGGAGGTACGTGGGCCGTTTGATGCGGGGTTTCCTGCGCTTGGG